TTAGTCTCTAAGGTGCCACAAGTACTCCTGTTCTTCTTTTTGCGGATACAGACTAACACGGCTGTTACTCTGAAGCATGGGAAAAGGTCAGTCATGAGAAATGGGCACGCAGTGTTAAACCCTCTTCTCCCCGTGAAAGCTACTCTACACACAGGTACAGGTGGTCAGGCCAATCAGGTGCTGGGCAATGAAAATGAAGTGTGAGAGAGAGAAAGTTGCTGGATTCGTCTGGGCTCCCCATGACCCCCTGTCAGACATCCTGTGCGGTGCCACTCTCCCATGTGGAGCACAAAGAGGCCTCTGGTGCTGCAGAAGGGCGGATTTTTTGGTGTGATCGACGCTTTCCCCTTGCTAATCGTCCTTGTGATGGAAGAGCCAGAAGAGTGATGAAACAGCCTCCTGACCGCACTGTTGCAATCCCTGCTCCAGCCTTCTAGCAACAACAAGAGACTGGCAGGTGTCCAGACAGACGAGGAGCTTTTTCAGTGTGCATGGATCACAGGGGCCTTGGCAGTCCAGAATCCTGTTAAACTGGACTCTCCAGTATAGACTTGCTAGCACATAGCACATGCAAATTCTCCTTACCGACTCTGTGCCACAGTGCCATGTGCTAGGATCGTCCTATTGAAACAGCAGATGTCCTCCGGGAACCAGGACCAGTTGGATCCTAAGACTGGCTGCTTGCTGGGGGTTACCGGAACTGTTCCCTGCCTCTCCCTCTCCACCCCGGGAAGGCCTGTGCCAAACAGCTAGTCGACATGGTGTTAAGGCACCATATGTTACCCTTGGGGCTGGAAGCTTAAGGAAATCACCAAAGCAAATGGCCTGTTTCTTAATATAAATGTGCAGGAACTCTAGCTGTTCCAACCGCCCCGGGCCCCATGCTTTGGGGGGCCCTGTGCTTCAGGGGGACGTGGAGTTCACGGTGGCCTGGAGGATTAGCAGGGGGCCTGGCGCCGGCAGCAGCGAGCAACCCGGCCCCAGCCCGACCACACCCCGCCGGCTCCCGGCATTGCTCAGGGGGAGGGGGCTTGGGGGAAGAGGTGGAATGGGGGCAGGGAGGGGGCGCAGCAGGGGCGGGAAGAGGCGGGGTGGGCTGGGGCCAGGTCGCTCGCTGCTGCTGGCACCGGGCCCCCCACTAACCCTCCAGGCCACCCTGGACCTCACATCCCCTTGAAGTGCGGGGCCCCCCAAAGCGTGGGGCCTGGGATGGTTGCCCCAGTCTGTCCTACAGATGGACAGCTCTGAAAATATAAGCCCAAATATTGGTGGAGCTCGGCCACCACGGGCCCATATAACTTGCTGCCTATGGCCTTGAAGGGGAGGTAAGGGGAGACCAGGGTCCCCTTACTATCCCCCCACCCTTACATTTCAGAGCATTCACCCAGCAAAATCCCTCTGAGACCTCAGTGGGAAAGTCTAACATAGGCAGCATTTGGTCACTTAAATATTAAACAAGCCCTTGGAGATAAAATTATCAGGTTGCGGCCTGCCTGTCGGACAGAAGGTAATTTACCAGCTGAGTGGAATCTGCTTAATCCGGACGAGGGGCCTTGTTGGGTGTATTGGAAATCAAGAGCCTTCAAATGAGAGCGAACTACCCCAAAGGCAGAGGGGTCAGTTCTTGCACGCACACAGTTTCTCTCAAGGCTGGCATGGGGTCTGAAGAGAGGTATAGCCTAGGAGTTGATTACATTAATGAATGACTCTCTAAGAATGCAGTGCACTTCCTTTCATAGAATCATAGAATCATAGAATATCAGAGTTGGAAGGGACCTCAAGAGGTCATCAAGTCCAACCCCCTGCTCAAAGCAGGACCAATTCCCAGCTAAATCATCCCAGCCAGGGCTTTGTCAAGCCGGGCCTTAAAAACCTCCAAGGAAGGAGACTCCACCACCTCCCTAGGTAACGCATTCCAGTG